ATTGAAATAAGAAATCGATCATGAAATTAATTTAACCCCGACAATTTTTCAATTCGACCATATTACTTATTTCAATAAATATACCAAACGCGTACACTCTATCACGATTATTTGAATATTATAACGGTGATTAGATAAATGTATTACTACGGGGGAGGGAGGGAGGGAGGGAGAGGTAGGGGAGGGGAGGTTTATAAATAAATGATCGGGGAAGAAGTTGGTAAGAAAAAAAAAATAGAAAAAAGGAATATATATATATATTTTATCTGGGTAACAATCTATTAGGGTTGTTTCGCAAGCACGATTAAATAATAATAATAATAATAATAATAAATAAATAAATAAAAAAGAAGAAAGAGCAAAAAAGGATAAAAAGAAAGAAAATTAAAGAGGAAAAATATTTTGTGAGTGAACTTTCATCGATAAAACGAAATCAAGATGGAAAGATTATGATAAAATAGAGAAAGAAATATATAGTTGGTATTAGAGAAAAAAAAAAAAAAGATAGATAAATATAAGTCAAGTTAGATCAAGCAGATTCGAGCGGAACGTGATCCATGTGCTCGAACTCGCTCCTTGCTAGATCGATTATATCGATCACCGACTATCTCACCTTTTAGTTTAACCCTCTCTTTCCCACTAACGTTATAACACTAATACGAGTATAGTAATCTACTTTAACTACGCACTTAGATATTCTTTCGAATTTTTTTGTTTTTTCGTCATTTTCTTTTTCCATTTTGTTTTTTTTTTTTTCTTTTTGTTTTCCTATACTTCTCTTTCACTCACTTTCTTGCTTTTTTTTTTTTTTTTCTTTTTTCTATTTCTATTTCGTTCTAGTACATATTTCAACGAGGTAACGAAGTATGGAAACACGTAGTATAATACTACCGTCGGAACGTCATAAGTCATGCACGGTTAATGATTATCCGTACCTCCGTACCTTTCAAGTATCTTCCAACACTTCATTTCTTTTTTTTCTTTTTCTTTTTCTACTATTTTCCCTTCATCGATGACGGCGTATCGATTATTTCTTATTTTTTCTATTTTTTTTGCTTTTTATTATTATTATTTTACTTTTTTCCTTTCTATCTCTTTTACATTTCACCCTATTTTTAAACGTTTCCCTCCCACCTTCCTCCTGTTCACTGTTCTTCAAGTCTTGGTACAATTGTTTTCCGACAATTCCCTGTGGTCTTAATGTGCAACAAATTTTCTCTCTTTGATCTATTATTAGATAATTATTATTTAAACATTTCTCGTGTGTTCTCGAACGAATGCATTATTTATCGTTATTTAAATTTATTTTGATCATCCCCGATATAATCATTTTAATTATTGTTCTTAAATTAATGTTTGTATCACAAATATATTAAATTAAAATTAATATTAATACAGTAATGGGATAGATTGATTAGTGTATGTAAATTTTAATTAAGAATTCACAAGTTTTTCATATTTTCTTTGTAAAGAATTATTGTGTGAATAACTGTAAATTAGATAAATTTTATATATTTTTTAGGTTAGGTTCGTTGTTTCCTATAGAAATGGTATGTTTTCGAAAGAAATTCAATTCAATTAAATAAATAAATGTAATAAAATTCAATACTATACAATGCAAAATTTTCATAGTTTCCAGAGAACATTCAATTTCATTAATTATTTATATTAAAATAACAATTCCTGCATCAGATCTTCAAAAAAACCCTCAAATTTAACAACAACAACAGTTAAAATTTCT